GTGGCGGCGCGGGCCGCTGGCCCCGGGCGGCCGTTACAGAGCCTCGCGGCGGCGGCGCCTCCCGGCAGCCGCGCGGGTACCTCAGGCTCCGAGGGAGCTACCGAGGGCCGGCATCGCTTCACCCTTTGGCCCAGCTTTCCGGTAATGTGGGGCAGGGAAGCGCTGCGGGCACAGGACTCCCCGGAGGGTGAGGAGCCAAGCGAGCCCCGGCTGTACCAGCGACCACGCCATGAAACAACTCGGCCCGATGGAAACCTGGATTGAGCTGCATAATTTTAATCATAGGCCAGGTAGGCTAGCAGCCTTGATCGCTTCTGTGCCCTGGCAACCCAGCGCATCAGGGCCTGATGTGCTGCCTAAGAACAGAATTGTCCATGCTAAGTCTTTGCAGCAGATGCCCACAAGCGGATCTAGGTACCTGTCAGGCTGATGGTGGCACTGAGCTAACATGGCATTTTAAACAAACAGGCTGCTTCATAGTGAGAGCAAAGTCCATTTATGTTATGTCAAAACTAAACTGCATCAGTGCAACAGGCAGGAGCAAGATTACGCAGTTAATTTTGATATCGGTATGGATGGATAATATGTGACATTGCTGTTCACCAATGGGGAATTATCAGAATAAGAGTGTTGCCAATGAAGTCTTTGGTTCCCTCAGACTGTGCTTCCCCTAAAACTGTGCTTATCAAAGCAGAATTAATATGGAGAACTCATACGGTTCACGTGGAACATGTATTCACAACACTTAGTGAAATTAGGGCCAATAATTGTATCGGCTCCAAGGAAAACTGTATTTTCTGCTATTATACACTGGAATTATTTATTTAAAATCACTGGAACCAGTAGATCTATGAACATCTGTATCGGGGAAGGGTATGTTCTAAACTCTTGCTGACTTGCTTGTGTTCCCAGGAAACCCTGGAAAAAGACTGAGCTTTTTATTCAGGTTGTGCCGTAAACAAACTTACTGATACTTTACTGGGATAATTCCCAGGTGATATTGACAGGAATCAATGTTGATGAGTCACTACTCGGTAGTTTTCCATCTTGGTCAGGATTCGTATTACACCTTAAGAAAATTAGAAAGAATATCTGTTGTCTAAACAGCTTCTGATTATTGAATAACCCCCAGTACATTTCATAAGAGAATGGGTGTTGCCATTGAGAGGAACTATAAATGTGTTTCAGTGAAACTGTCAAGGAAAATTGTATGATGTGCAAGAAAAGGGTATACATCTTTTCTCAGTGATGGATATGTGAAAATGGTAGTAATGAACTTCAACAAACACCTATGTTGTTGAATTTATTTGCCAGTATGATGCCTCTGAGAACAGGAATGTGTGTTTGTTTCTATTTTCTATTTATGATTTTTATGTGGCCATATGATATTAATTTTTTATTTGAAGCTTCTTGGCACTTTTTTTCAAGTTTGCATTTAAAATTATGAATGTGCAAATCATATATTTCATGTCTGTGATGAGTTTAGCCAATTGAATTTTGATAATCGATCTTCATGAGTGAAATATATTTATTGGTCCTGAACATACATATACAAATTAATTATAGCAGCTGAGAATCACATTATTATCTCTTACATAAGTCTTATGTTTTAGAAAATAGACTATGTAGAATAGGCAATCTTTGCAGTGTCAACATTCCTTTTTTTCCTCTTCATAAATGTTCACAGCTTTCAAATAGCTCTATCTGGATTAGTTTGGCAGTGACTTTAATATCAACAGAAAATATATACAAAAATACAAAAATTCTGTGATTTGTTACCAGCCATTGATTTCATAAGTAATAACACATTAACTAAACTGACAATTTTTTTCTTCTGCTGGGAGGATCGGGAGATATATGGTGGGAGGACAGATGTGATCCACAGTCCATGGATCTTGACAAATGAGGGTTTCCTCCTGGCCTCTTCTTCGTGGTGACAAATATATTTTGCTATAGTAAATTCCTGTTTTATAATGGTCTCTAAGAATATGGAAAATTATACCATGAGGGAGCCACTTTCTATCTCTAGGGTTAGAAAAACAGTAGTGTGTAGTGTTTTTCATTCACCCATCTTATACCCTGGATTTAGGGTGAGCACAGTTGGGTTAAGACCTGAACACCTGCCCTACCAGCTATTGTGTACCCTAGCAAGCAGAATTAGTGTATTTCTAAGAAATTATTTTGATTCATTTAAAGGCGTGATAAAGACAAATCTGGTTTCTCCTGCAGACAGACAGGATTTCAAACTGTAAACCCGAAGACAATGATCAGTTTAGAAAAGCCTCTGTATTTTTTTTTTTTTTTTTTTTTTGAGAACATCAGACTTCTGTGCTGCCTGAATTGACGGATGAGTAGATAGCAAAGGCAAATGGGCCCTCGCCTTACTTAGCTGCCTTGTTAGGCTGCTGGAGAAGAGGAAACAGTTGTGATTTGTTCTGAAGAGCCCAAGAGCCCTAGATGAGAGGGCAGCTCTCTTCTGCAGTAACAGCCACTGCTGCGGTCTTCTCTAGCAGAGCCTTGGAAAAGGCAGCTGGGCTACTCTTCTCCACTAAGTAAGCCAGCACCATTTTATTTTTTCCCCATATTGTGGGAAAATTAAAAGTCCATTTTACAGACTTAATGCAGTCAAAATTGTTGGGAGAGTCTTATCCCATAATATAAAAATATTATTTTCTATTATCATTGTAATAGTGTGTGGTTTTCCCTTCAGGAAATTTGTTATGTTGTTAATACAGTTTCCTCTCTGTTTTCCTCCCTCCTTTACTTTTCCTGTTAGATGTACATGTTTTTTTTTCCTGTTGTGTCAAAATAAGGTGATTGTGAGTGATGGGTCCTTTCTGAAATGAGAACACTTTTGCAATCTGCTAACCTTTGGCACTGATTGCACATACTAGTGAAAGGCCCAGCACTTTAGAGTGATTCACTCTGAAGCATTACAGAAAATAGGTTTACCAGTTGAAAAATTTCAAGGCAAGTTCTCTTTCGTCAATGTGGTCTCTATAAAGTACTCTCATTTTTTTTCTATTATGTGATTAAGAAGAGAGGAGATAATGAGAGCTTCTTAAGGGATCCCGTAATGCACCAAAACGTATACTAGTTCTAATGATTTTAAGAGAGAGAATGAAAACACTGGCAGGAGATCAGCTAAAAGGAACTATTTTCAGATATTTTGCACACTAGGCTATATCCTACTCTCAGTTTGCACACCTAACTCCCATTAACCTTTAGGGAGGTTAGGTGCATTCATGAAAGGGAGGATGTGTCCGAATATTAAGATTCTGAAAGATTTGCTTTCTTATGTAT